TTTATTTATTTGATAAAGAGAGAGAGAGAAACAGCATGAGAGGCGAGAGGGTCAGAGGGAGAAGCAGGCTCCCCGCCGAGCCAGGAGCCCGATGTGGGGCTCGATCCCAGGACTCCGGGACCATGACCTGAGCCGAAGGCAGTCGCCCAACCAACTGAGCCACCCAGGCGGCCTGTATTACTCTTTACTTATGCATACATTGTGAAATATTTCAATTACTTGTCTGCCAAATTTTTAGCCAGTGAACTCCATAAAGGCAAGGATTAAATCTATCTTATTTATTCCATATTCTTACATGGGTGTTTAAAAAATCTGTAAGTGAAAAAAGTAATGACATTACTAACTATAATGACTGAATTCAAAAGTATTTACAAGAGTGGAGGAGAGCATATATTTGAAATTTTCAAGAAATGGCCTAGGGGCACCAGGTGGCTCAGTTCGTTAAGCATCTGCCTTTGGCTCAGGTCATGATGTCAGAGTCCTGAGATCCAGCCCCTCCTTGGCTCCCTACTCAGCAGCAAGTCTGCTTCTCCCTCTGCCTCTGTGATCTCTCTCTCTCAAATAAATAAATAAACATCTTTTTAAAAAAGTTACTTAAAAAATAAATGGTCTAAATAAAATATTATTTCTTCAGTTCAGGACATATTTCTTCAGTTCAGAATAACTGCCCCCCCGCCCCCCAAACCTCTTCAGTTCAGGACATCTTACTAGAGTCTTGTCAGCATTCAAAACAGCACAAATTACATGCCCTGTATAGATCTTGTTTGGATCCTGATTCAAACCAACCAACACTAAAAAACATTTTAGAGAAAAATGAGGAAAACCAAATACAGACTGGGTATAAGTTCAAGGAATTATTGCTAACTTTGTTGATTGTAATAGTGGTACCATTATATTTTAAAGTCTTTCTCTGTTAGAGATACTTGGTGAAGTATTTAGAGGTAAAGATATATGATGCCTGGGATTTGCTTTAAAATACTTCAGCTGTATTAATGAATTATTTGTTCAAAGAAAAAAAAATTTTTTTACTGAAAAAAAGTCATAGAAACACATGGTGGCGCTGTAGGATAAGATGAAATTAGTGCATGGACAACACTGTGGGCTTCGTCATTCAGGGGAACAGAGACCAATCCAAGCCACTGAAAAGAGAGGTAGTAAAGGAGCTTCATCTACTAAAGTTGCTGGAGGGCTATATACCCTCCGGGGGGGAGGTTCTTATTTTTTAAAAATTGAGTTTCAGCTTCCAAAATCAGGGCTGAAAATCTTTTCTGCAAAAGAGGCTGCTGGAAGGAACCATGGAGATCAAAGGGGAGCTAGCTCTGCGGAAAAGGCAAGTCCTGATTCTCTTTGTTTTGCTGGGATTATCTCACGCAGGTCCTGAATCTGTGCGATATTCTGTGGCAGAGGAAACAGAAGTTGGTTCTTTTGTGGCCAATCTTGCAAGGGATCTAGGGCTTGGGGTGGAGGAGCTATCATCACGGGAGGCCCGGGTAGTGTCGGATGATAACGAAAAGCACTTACAACTTGATTTACTGACGGGGGATTTGCTCCTAAATGAGAAACTGGACCGAGAAGAGCTCTGTGGCTCCACTGAGCCCTGTGTGCTGCATTTTCAGATGGTATTAGAAAACCCTTTACAGTTTTTTCGGGCTGAACTGCATGTCAAAGACATAAATGATCACTCCCCTATGTTTCTAGACAAGCAAATACTTATTAAAATATCAGAAAGTACCAGTATTGGAGCCACATTCCTAATGGAGAGTGCCCAAGATTTGGATGTAGGAACGAACAGTCTCCAAAACTACACAATTAGCCCCAATTCTCATTTCTACATTAAAATCCGAGACAACGGTGATGGAAAGTTGTACCCAGAACTGGTCCTGGACAGAGCATTAGATCATGAGGAGGAGTCTGAGCTCACATTAACACTCACAGCACTGGATGGTGGATCTCCACCCAGGTCTGGAACAACTTTGGTTCTCATCAAGGTCTTGGACATCAATGACAATGCCCCTCAGTTTGCTCAGAGGCTCTATGAAGTGCATGTTCTGGAGGACACACCCGTTGGGGCCTGGATTATCACCATTTTTGCTAATGATTTGGATGCAGGAAATTATGGGAAAATATCATACACATTTTTGCATGCATCAGAAGATATTCGTAAAACATTTGAAATCAATCCAGTATCTGGGGAAGTTCATTTGAGATCATGCCTGGATTTTGAAGTAATACAGTTCTACACTATAAATATTCAGGCAACAGATGGTGGGGGTCTTTCAGAAGAATGTACTCTTCTGGTTAAAGTAATAGATATAAATGATAATCCACCAGAAGTGACCATCTCATCATTTACGAAGTCAATTCCAGAGAACGCCTCAGAGACTTTGGTTGCTCTTTTTAGTGTCCGAGACCAAGACGCTGGGGATAATGGGAAGATGGTTTGCTCTATTCAGGATGAGCTCCCCTTTTTCCTGAAACCAACCTTCAAGAACTTTTTCACTCTAGTTTCGGAAAAAGCACTGGACAGAGAGACAAGAGCCGAGTACAACATCACCATCACCGTCACTGACCTGGGGACGCCCAGGCTGAAAACCCAGCACCACCTAACGGTGACGGTGTCCGACGTCAACGA